CTTCTCCAGCAGGGAGGAGATTTCTCCCTGAAGGATGTGAGCTGATGTCCCCTGGGCGTGGGAGAACACTCCGCCGGAGAATCGAGGAGGAACTGAAGCAAATTGGAGCCTGTAACCTCTCGAAATAGTTCTTAGCACCCAATGTGAAGCAGAAACCGCTGTCCATTCCTCCATGTGAGTGGAGAGCGGTGACACAGCCGTGACACACGGAGCAGCAGCTCCCTCCAGAGGTTGTGGGGCAGCGGTGCTCGTGGCAACCACTGCGCATGCGTGGGGGCTTTGTGCTTTGGCGGCCCTGGCGTACGGGGACGACCCGTGGCTGGCTGGAAAGTCTGCCAGGGGCCGCCCCCGCCTGGAACCGCTCATGGGTAACGTTTTTATTGACTTTTGCTGCGCCCTTGACATTCTGTCTGGATGCGGCAGCGAACTTTTTAATGCTCCTTGAGCGTGGCATGTTTGTAAAAACAATGTGAGTGCTTGTGACGTGTGTTTTGAGCCGGCACAGCCGGTTGCACGTCCTGGCCCCACCCTGGACCGCTCGGGGACTCCGCCGGAGGGCTCCGTGAGGGGGGGAAAGCACCATGGCAACATCGAACAGGAGGAGCTGGCGAATGGGGAACTGCCAGCTGCAGCGTCGGGAGGGAAAGACCTCCGTCAGGCTGCCCTCTTTTTCTTCCTCACCTGCTGACCGCCGGGTCGGGTGGGCTGTCCCGGCGGCGGAGCAGCTTGGTTGCTGGACCTCTGAGGCCAAACTGGTCGAGGCGCTGAGCCCGAAGGAGCTGGCTGGACTGCTTGAGGCTTCGGACGCTTTGGGATCCGGAACTGAGGCTGGGCTCTGGCAGCTGCCTGAGGAAGGTTCGGCCGAGCCGGCAGAGCCGTTGAAGGCTTACGGGGAAGGCAGAGTTGAAGGGCTTCATCCTCCTTCTTTTTGGCCTCACACCGTTGCTGCATTGATGCCAGGGCAGAGCCAAAAATGCCTTCAGGCACGATTGGCATGTCCAAAATGTCCTCCTTCTCTCTATCAGAGAGGTTGGTGAGGTTCAGCCATCGTGCACGTTCTTGAAGCACCATCATGCCCATAGCTTTAGCCGTAGCCTGGACCGCGCAGCGCTGCACACGCAGGCAGATGTCGGTCAGTACGGTAATTTCCTCCCACACCTCCGGGGCCGGCTTTGTATTCATGTCCTCACACAGCTCGGCTTGGTATGCCGAGAGCATGGAGGAGACATTCAAAGCTCGGACCGAGATGGCGGCAGCCTTGTACGCCCTCTCGTTCACCGCCGACTGGAAGCGGTCCGCCTTTGCAGGGAGAGCGGGAGGCCTGGAGGAAGTTGCCGAGAGCCGTGGGTGCAGGTGGGCTGCAACCAGCGGTTCCATCGGCGGCATGCAAAGCATGCCAGCCTTCTCCATCCCCTCGAAGTCCAGCGAGGAGGCTCCTTGGACAGGAGACCTAGAGCTGAAAGGGTGTTTGTCCCAGGAGGACCTCACTTCTTGGAGAAGCTCCTGGAAGGCGGGAAGGAGGGGCTTTGCCGCCCTTGTGGCCTGAGGCAGCTTCTTTCCCTCGTAGCGGGATTTGACAGCCTCAGTGACCACGGTGGGCCAAGGGATGTTGAGCCTGGTCGCAGCGCGTCGGCAGACTGACTGCATGTCCAGGTGGGCGGCCGGAGAAGCCGCTCCATCCCTGGGAGAGGACAGAAAGCTAGGCATGGAGGCCTGAGCGATGGGGAGAAAAACGTTGTCATCCTCGTCCTCCTCTGAAATGAGGAGTTCCGAGGTGTCCTCGTCGTCTCCGTAGTCCAACTCCAACACGTCCTCGACGGGGTGGCTCGGACCGGCCAGTTCGAGCTGTGAGCCCCAGCTGAGTTCGGCACACGGTTCCGGCTCCGGGAGGGCATGTTCGCTGGCGTCCCCAGGCGGTGGCCCAGGGGCCGGCAGGCAAGGGTCCTTCCCCGACAGGCTAGCTTGGCGCGCTAGCCGCTGGCGAAGGCTCTTCAGGGTGAAGCAAGCACAGCTCTCACATGATCCGGGGACTTCCAATGCCAGCTGGGCGTGTTCCAGCCCGAGGCAGCTCGAGCAGACCTTGTGCGGGTCTTTGCTCGAGATTTTGTTCCCACAGGTACAGGGGCGAGCTCCTGCGCCGTCGACTCCTCTGGTGGGAGGAGCGGCTTCCATGTGGGCTAACTGATGTGTTAGCAAGAGAACGAACAGGTGCACTGGAGTGTGAAGCTGCTCGTTATGCTCCGAGCCTATGGTGAAGGTCAGGACAGAAGGACAGTAAGTTAACGTTCGGCGATGGAGAGAATATTGGCTGGCTCAGTCTGTGAACAGTTGAGCTAACTTACCTTAGAGATAAGCAACCACTGAAGCGAGAAGAGGTGATTGAATAGTGCGTGCGTTGGGACGCTTGCTACTTATAGTAGCAGGGGACACGTACGTCACGGTCACTGGCCAATCAGGATTGGCGTATTGAGATAAGTGCTTCTGAGGAATCCGCGGAGGGGCGTATCCCATAGTGAGACATCGAAACGAATGTTAAGAAAGAGAATGCTGTTTGAATGCTGAATTCTGAAACTGATTGCTGAAGATGCCTAAGAACTGAAGTGAAGTTGAAGGATGGTTGGATGTAATGGAAGAACACCACTATTACATAGAGACTGGGCCTAAAGGTGAATAAAAATAGGTAAAAATATCCTAAACAGCAGAAAGCATAAACCTCTGAGCTTGGCTGAAAAACTGGACAGTTCCTTACCCCTGGGCTTAAAGCTCTGAAGTGAGTTAAAAACTGAAACTTGTGTTTAGTATAAAACATTAAAATGTCCCAAATTAAGGCTAAACGTTCCAAGCCAAAATATTCCATAAAACATTAAAACATTACTCTAAATATGACCCACAAAAGAAAGCTTACCACTATATAAGCTAAGTTAAAAAGCCTAAATTGTATGAAATATTGAATTTAGTTTTAAAAACAACTAAAAATCCTTGAACTGAGTGTGAGGTGGGTGGTTGATGCTGTAAACAGCATTAAACAATGAAACCTCTGGTCATTTTCTAGTCGTTACCATCTGTTCATGAACTCATTTCTAACCTTGCATTTGGATATTCAGACATTTGTTTTTCTGGAATATTCAGCTGAAAAAATGCTGTGATGATGTACAGGAAGTGGGTGGGACTAATAGCTTTCAAGTCTCCCATTTTGGCCAGGAAACTCCCAAATTTTACCTATTTTTCCCACATTCTTGTTATCGGATTAGTATTTTCCCCATACGCCCCTCCCCCTCTCATGGAGAGCTTCACCCACATCACACATCGTTCTTCTGATACCTGCAACTCCTTTTTTAATGATGAGGATTGTGGGCTCCATAGGACCCAGCTATATTCATTTAGTCCCAAATTTGACTTCAGTGTGATTCCAGCTGAAAATGAGTGTTTTTCTCCTTCTACCAGTCACTGACAGTCACAGCCTGGTGAGATTGTGGGTTCTTCAGGTTATTTAGTGGTGGACTTTCCTGGTTAGATGTTTTATGTAAAACTTCGAGACCCTTGACTTTTCATCAAGCACCATGGTGTTAACTAGCTGCTGTTAGCATGTTGAACCATCAGGTGAGCACAGAAATGTTAAAACAAAGAAGCAGCTTTGTGAGTTGTGTCACCCAGTGAGAACCTCTCAGTAGAGTCTGGAGAAGCTCCTTCCAGGATGAAGTGGTCCTCTGGTGAGCAGCTGCTTGTGCAAATGAGCAGCTGCTTGTGCAAATAACTCAGACCTATGCAGTTAATACACCTCTGAGGGGGAGTGATGGCCTTTTCTACATCGTCTTTGTTTCAGTCTGGATCTTCCGTGTGCTCGTTGGCATGCTGCTATCTTCTGTCTGATTGCCTTCTGTGATGCTTCCTTTGGCAATGTTGACCAGAGCACACGCAGAACCGGGCCACCGTTTGCCAGACTTGTCAAAGCAGTTTGATTTGCTGCTCAAGACAGCTCCATGGCTTCAAGATGGCTCTGAGGGCAGGGAGCGGCTGGCGAGATGATTCACCGGGACAGAAATCCTAAAGAAACCCACACTGATGCCCTGACTCAGCCACAGACACATCCACTCATAAGTCAGCAGGCTGCTCTCTGGTCCTCTCTCTGAGCTAACACACAGCCTAGTCAGACCCGCGTGAGTGTGTGTGTGTGTGTGTGGGTGGGGGGTGGGGGGGGGGGGGGAGTCTAAGCTTCCTGCTGTCATCATTACTGTAGTAAACTCCTGCATCTATGGAGCAATCTCTTCTGAGCCAGGCTTTCTCTGCTCTCAGATCTATTGTATCACAGAATTTATCAGCTGTGTGTGTGTGTGTGTGTGTGTGTGTGTGTGTGTGTGTGTGTGTGTGTGTGTGTGTGTGTGTGTGTTTGGGTTCAGTCAGGTCAGTCTCTGCTGAGGCCTTGAGGGGGTAAAGAAGGGAATGAAGTCATTGAGCGATAGTAAACAAATTCAGCAACGTTCAGCAGTAGGCACACACCGGTGGTCGATAGCTGCAAGGCTAATGCACGGTTTTGTTTACTGCACAGGGTTCACGTAGGGTAAAGCGCTCACACACACACACACACACACACACACACACACACACACACACACACACACACACACACACACACACACACACAAACACACACACACACACACACACACGTAAACAGCTCGACCTTCCATGTGTCCCTGCGAGTGTGTGTGAGTCTGAGGTTGCTGTAGTGGTTTGTGACTGTGTGTGTTGGGATTTTTATGGAGAGAAGTGTGTGTGTGTGACCACAGTGCTTTCAAAACGATATCAACACCATAAGTCACACTCACTGTCACCACACATGGTGAAACGGCACCGCGTCCTTCTAAACGTTAAACATCTATTATTTAATTCATGTGAAGGTTCTGTAAACCAAAAGCCTGAGTCCCTGTCTGTTATAAAACATTCCTAACAAGACCTGGGCTGTTTTTTAACATCTTTCCAGTAATGAGCACACCTGTATCTTCGTTATATCCTGTTGGTTTTAATGTGATACCTTACAGGAAATTATCAGACATGTGACTTCAAATGCTTTCTTGGTCAAATCCAATCTTCCAGAAGAATCATTGTGTTGTAAAAGTTGTGCTGTGGCAGCATGAGCTCAGCTCCATGCCTGTCAGAGACCTAATCATCACACAGAAGCCTGTAGCAGACCAGAGTCCGTCTGAATCCTGGACAGATGCCCGAAGCATCTGGTTGCTGATCATTTTAGTGGACAAATAGTAATTCAAGCTGGATCTAATGAGGCTGCATAGTGGTACAGTTGGTAGCATAGTAGCCTCACAGCGAGAAGGTCACAGGTTTAAATTCTGTCTGCAGCCTTTCTGCTCAGAGTTGGCATGTTCTTCCATGCATGTGTGGGGTTTTCTCCACTTTCCTCCTGCAGAACAAAAACATGCCTGCTAGTTAAACTTTTAGCTGCTTTAGAGAAAAGCTTCTGCAAACAGAAACTGTACCAATGAGCCAGGTAGAAGTATTTTTTTGCACATATATTTTATTTGATCAGTTTTTAGACGCCTCAGGCGGGTTAATGCCGGCCCAAAAGCAGTCAGTCAAACAGTCCTGCTCACATCTTCTTTGTCATGTGTGGTTCTAACTCTGACCATCGTCCTCACTGTGGTTTGGTGTTTTGGGATCTAACAGATCATTCAAAATGATTTTCTAACACCTGACCGACCTTTTTTCCTAAAAAAAACTATTTAGACTTGATTTATATTTTCTAGGAGGTCATTAAACAGAGCGTGTGTAAGGGCTAGGGTTAGACTGGATCGCATCAACCAATCAGAAGCCATTACAGGCTCTACAGCTGATTCAAGATCAGCCCATGTTTGTGCAGATGACTATAATTTTAAGCCTTCTGCTTTCTTGTGTTTCTTTCCACCCATCTAGAACAATCCAATTCTTTAAGCTGACAAAGTGGCAGTTATCCCAAAAGTCAGAGCCAATCCCATTTCCTCTGTAGCCCACCCCCCCAGTCCTACTTATCCCTGCTGCATGGTCAGATATAGGGTGTGTCAGAATCCACGGGTAGGATGCTTATGAGTATGGGTCCTCGCTGAAACCGGAAGTCAGCGGCTCTGAATTCAAACAGTCTAGCCTTCACCTCTACGGTGGCCTGTAGGTCCCGTCACAGCCGTGGCGGCAGCTACACGCAAAGGAAAAATGCTAAAGCTAGCGAAAATCAAGCAGGAATATTAAGGAGCTACAGCAGCTTCACGTCCATCAGCAGCGTTTGTTCACAACCGTTTTCAGGTAAAGTAACTTTGTTTATTCTAGAAGCTTTCAGGACTTACATGTTAACTTTAGATGGTTTCATGTATGTTTTAAGCTACAGAATGAACTTGTTAAACATACACAACACATTACTACTGAGTATTAACATGTAGGTAATTAATTTAAACCAAATGCATTATAAATGTTGAATGCAGTGATGTTTTCTAATGCAAATTGGACCTTAGAACTTCTTATTTAGCATCAAATGGGGGTAAAACGTTTTTAAAAACAGACTTCTTAATAAAATGGCATTGAAATTCTTTCAATGTGCTTTTGTTTATTAAACATAAGCCTAATAATGATTAGATCTGTCTTAAAAATGTAAATTCTCTGTAGTTTTTATTTAACTATTCCCTGCTGGTTTTCTTTAAACTGAACAGAACCAGTGTACTGCAGGTTATATGTTTTGTTTTACATTTTTCAATAAAAAAACTCTTTATATACTCTTTTATAAATCTATTACAGGTAAATAACATTAACATGACAGTAGAAGGCCTTTCTCCCAGGATGACCACCAGGTAAAGCCTCTCCTGACCCTGGACACCTGCAGTCCTACAGAGAAAATCAGAGACCACAGGTGACAAAAAGACAAACACATTTTTACATTTATCCACATGAGAAGATAAAAATTATATTCTTCACACAAACAATTTTTACTTCATTATAACGTGTCAGCTGTGTAAATCCCTGAATGTAAAACTACTTTTCACAGAAGAACTTCTGTGGTTGTGTGTAAACAGCTTCACTCTTCACCTCTAAGCTTAATAAAAACACTTCTTTGCTCCGTTGTCCTTAAAACAAATGACAAGTTTAATTCGCTACACACACACACACACACACACACACACACGTGCTCACACACACACACACACACACACACACACACACACACACACACACACACACACAGACACACACGCACGCACACACACACACACACACACACACACACACGGGAATAACTGGGACCTGCGATAGAAACTCGTTCTGGCTGATTTCTGCCTAAAATGTAATTTAAAAAACAAAAATACAAATGAAAAGTGTCTATAAACAGAACTGCTTTAAGCTTGTTAGGTTTCTACGGCTAGTTTTTAACAAACTTACGTTTAAAACTTCGTAGCTCTCCCCATTTTCTCTTCCTGTTGAAAATCCACAGCCGGCGCGCAAAGCATGCTGGGATAGCCTTGCCCTGTGAGGATACAACAGACCCGTCCTCGAAATGTGGGCGGAGCGAGGACGCATTTGAGGACGAGAGAATGAGTATTCTTGGAATTTGGACAGTACTCGTCGCTGCGCTGTGACGTCATCGACCTCAAAATGCCCTCTTACAAGCATCCTTCCCGTGGATTCGGACACACCCATAGTTTTTTAGGAATTAGTTGACCTGACAGAGTGAGATGTGCATTCATATTGTGATTTGAAGCAGTTGTAATTTATAATTGTATAAACCTTTATAACCAACAGTAAAATCTCTGTTAGTCCTGGAATGGAGAAGAAGCCAGTGGAGTGAGGCCAATGCTGGTATTAGACTCACTCGCTTTTCTGTTCTTGTTAAAAGACGAGAGGCAGACGGGAAGCGAGGACCAACCATCTATTTCTGCTGAAACTAAAGTGTTTTACCTTCTTTTAATCTTTGGGAAAGAAACATTTTTACTTTGGCTAAAAGTTGTTAATTTCTTTTAATAACTAACTTTACTTGTTTAATCAATTTAACAAGGTGTCAAAAGGTTAAATAGCCTTTCTTTGTAAATAAACTATCTGGCCATGAACCGTCTTTCACGTCGTCTCTGCACACAACTGGAGTGCTGTGACCAATCAGAACAGTCAAAGAAAATGCAAATACATTATTTTTTCTACATAAAGTACTGTGATGCAGTACTGTGACTTTAGTACCTTTATCTGCTCCTGACTCAAGGAAAAGCCCAAGTCTAAATCGTCCAAAGTTGATGCCAAAGCGGTTTCTAACGACCGCCGTTCCTGAGCAGACACCATCTTAGTTGTTTTTCTCTGTTGCAGCTCTACTGGCTGTACCTTTTTCTATTTAGTTAGGATGAGTGCCACAGGCTACACATTCTGGGGAAAAAGATAACATCTACTTAATTTAGACATGATTTTACTTTTTTGAGAGAAAACATAAAAGGGTACCTTGCAGCATAATCATTACATTTGTTTCTGACCACAATGTGAAATACTTGTACTCACAACCCAAGTTATATAACCAAAGAGGCCTCTTAGATGAGAGGCAAAGCGATAACACCCATGTCTAGGATGACTGAGGATCTACACCAACACTATTGTTACTTCACTGACAAGAGTCCCAGAATAGAACCCTGAGGAACTCCATGTGTAAACGGCCTTTCAGCCTGTTTTGTTTTGTCTCTAACTCTCATAAGTGGATACAGAGATCTACAGTGTCAAAAGCTGCACCCGTAAAAGCAAAAATAATAAACCTAATATGAAAGGAACATTTTTGCCATATTGCTTCTCCTTTTCTACTTGGACACACGTTTTCCCTCCCTCTGTCACCTTTATCCATCCATCTCTATTTATCCCACTCTGTCTCTTGTCCTTTCCTCCCCGTAGCCTGATGCTGTGGTCTCCCACCGCAGTTAGTCCATATTGAGCTGTACTAATGTGGAGCCCTCTTCCTTCCATAATGTGGCTGACAGCTCCAGGCAGTCCAGCAGAACCTCACAGCTCTCTAGCTTTCTGCTAACACCTTTGACTCTGCCTCTAAGTACCCCGTACCCCCACACATGGAAATTCAAGTCTAATTACCCCCCATCACATCCAAAAAATAAGAAAACCACAACCCAACATCATGTCACTTCATGTTATGAGGAACTGATTGAATGTTTAGTTTGATTCAAGTTGAAACAATATTTCTTAAAAAATCTTTCTCACAATGGTTTTTAGCACAAATTTCCCCGAGACAGTGACTGTGCTAATGTCTTTAGGCTTTCTAGAAATCATCACACTAGTTTCTTTCAAAAGGAGCTTTCTACAGAACAAGAGTAGGCTGGGGAAAAAACCATCCTCGCCCCCCTGGGACCCAAACTGCTGAGAAAAAAAGAGTTTTATGAACAAGATCATAATGTTAAAAACAATCAGCAGATAATAGCACACACGCTTAAGGCAGTCAATTCAAATTTTATGATCTGCTGTATTAAATTTCTTAGGAGAGAAAGAAAGTATTCTCCAGCATCTAATGTTGATACTGCATACCCGGCTAAATCCAGTACTTTCAGAAGGCAAATATAAAGCAAACACAAAGCCCGAGGCAGGTGATGAAAAGGCATGTTCAGAAGTTGTGGGAACATGAATAGAGACTGTTCATCCTCCGAGGTTGAGCATGAGTACAAGAGAAAGTAACATAACTGGTAATGGCAGTAATGGTTGGCCCTCCTCCTGTGGGCAAGGACGTCTGTCCAAAACATCCTCTGTGGAGGTTTATGTTGCTTTGCTGCTCTGGGTGAAAGGTCGTTTCCAAAGGATTTAGAAAGAGGAGAATTATTCTTTGTGGCCTTTGAGAGATTTCGTTAAGACGCCAGCATATTGCCGACTACTGCAACTCTCTATATGCAGGGTTGTATCAGTCAACACTGCGTCGCCTACAGGTTGTGCAGAACAGCGCTGCCAGGTTCCTGACTGGGACCAGGAAACGGGACCACATCAGTCCGGTTCTGGCCTCTCTGCACTGGCTTCCGATTTGCTATCGCTCACAATTTAAAATCCTCGTCTTTGTTTATCATTTCTTCCAGGGTGGTGGTCCCCCCTATCTAGCCACACTCCTGAAAAGACACTCCCCATCACGCGCTCTGCGCTCCTCTGACCAAGGCCTGCTCGCTGTCCCTCGGTCTAGGTGTCGTACCCGTGGGGACCGGGCTTTCTCAGTCCTAGCACCGTCACTCTGCAACCAGTTGCCACCCTCAGTTAGGCTGTCCCCTTCTCTGCCAGTCTTTAAGAATCACCTAAAAACACACCTCCTCCGCTTGGCGTTTCCAGAACATGTTTGATTTTGGCCCTCTTTTATGTTGAATCCATTCCACAGTTTTCATTGGTACACTCAATCCATCCACTCAATCCAAATGTGTTTCACACATTTGTCCTTTACCAGAATGTTTCATCTATCTTGTAATTTCCATTTTGTATTTTGTAATTTGTATTTTGTAATTTGAATTTCTTTTATTGTTGATTTATTCAATATATTTACATACAACTGTACAATGTTCAGCGCTTTGGGCTTCCTGACAGGGTTGCGGAAGGCGCTTTATAAATAAAGCTTTGATTGATTGATTGATTTTGACAGCGAGTGATGTCACCGATCAGCATAAAATGTACCGACAGCAGCAGAGAATAACAAAATATAGTCAATGTAAAACGCAGATGGTTGCCATGTATACATTTGCTTTTTCGTTAGCACTTAGGGATGTTCAAGCTTAACTTTTTTAACGATGTCCGATATTGTCTGACTCTTAATATGCTGTGTCCCCTTCTCATCAAAACATTAAAACTAAAACTTTTATGGTGACTAAAATCACATTTCTCCTATTATGCTTAAATAAGAAACATTTTCTGTGTGAAAGGAAAACTTCTAACAGGCCATGTTTGTTTTGTCTCCAACAGCAGCTGAATTCTCCCTAAGCGGGATGCTAAGATGTATTAGTTAGTGATGTGTTTGTTCTTTTTCTGTATTTTGCAGCTACGGTTATAAAACATTTAGAAAGATCTTCAAATAAGAAAACAAGCCTTGGGTGAAGGTTCTTGTTTTTATTTAGTTGTTTGTTAGCTGCTAGCTACACGTAGCTATCTGCTGCGAGGACAGCTACGTTCACAACACTTCAAGAGTTGTGCCAGATGAACTAAAATGTGTCATAAACGTTACCTCAGATCTGTCAGAGTTTGACATTTTGAGAGAGTAGACGTAGCTGAAGAGTTTGATGTATAACATGTTTATGGTATCTAAAAGTTTGTGTCAACAAAATACTGGAAACCGATGTTTTCAGTCTGACATCACGCTTTAATATCGGCCCATGATATTGAAGGTGCCTAGTACCAATGAATGAAAGAAGACATCTTCATGTTGGAGCTTCTCTTATTTTCTTTTCTTTTCCTTCCATTCCACGTCGCCAGCACTTTTTTCAGTTTTACAACCACCGGGTCTGCTAGGTCATTTGGTTCCTGAAATAGCCCGGAAAGTGGTCCCGTCAGGCCGGCCTGGTGGAATGGACATACTGTAAAGGTCCAGAAGTTCTAATAGTGGAAAAGGGCCTGTAGATTCACAACGTTTGTGACCGCTGAGGGTTAGGGTCCACTTTAAACTCTACAGGCCCCAGGTACCAGTTCAGGTTCAAGCTCATGACAGGACAGTTGGAGATGGCTGAACAAACTTTAAAACCTCTTCTACTGAAACAGAATGACAGCAGGACATGTTTATGAAACATCATCTGAAAGATCAGGTTGAGCTTCAGACGACGGAATCTGGAGTCTTACTTCCTGATAGTCAGACATCTCTCCTCTGATTGGCTAACAGAAACACGACTCTACCACTGACTCTGTTTGCTCTGCAACGTTGATGTTTTATCTCCACAAATAATGGGAGGAGAGATGTCCAAATATCAAGAAGTAAGACTCCAAATCCTGTCGTCTGAAGCTACTTTCTCCTCTACTCTAGACTTCTACGTCTAGTTCAAACAGGAGCATCTTAAACCCTTTTCAGACAGACATTCTGGAACATTTGCGGACAATTCAATCCGGTTTTTAACCGGAACTGTGTTTTCAGACACACCACTTTTGTACCGGAACTTGTCCTTTCGGCTGAGTTCACACAGCAGGGAAAAGTTCCAGATGTCTGACGGCGGCGGGGGGTGGGGTGGGGTGGGGGTAGAATTGGACTTATGTTAAGAAGAAGAAGAAGAAGAAGAAGAAAATATCATTTCTATAGCGCCTCTCAAGATAAAAATTACGAGGCGCTTAAGCATAATTCTGCGCACACGAAGACGCATAAGAGACCTGGATGATGAAGCTCAATGGTTAAAGGAATCACTGAAGCGGTGTGAAGCGCTCCGTCGCGCGTCTAGATGGTACCGTAGGAGGCGAGCTGCCGTGGTTCGCCGCATGCTACAGTAGCGAGCTATCTAGGTGCGCACAGCGTCCCCCGGTCCCCTCCTTCTCCTCCTCCCCCTTGTCTGGAACTCTACCTCACCAGTCTGAAGCAGCCACCCTGTCCGTAACAAGTCCGGACCTGTTACTAGGGGCTTCGTCCAGATAAATTCCGGAACACGTTATCCGGATGTTTGTATTCAGACACAAAGGTCTTACGGACAGAGTCCGGAACATTTCCGTTTTTCATGGCCTGTCTGAAGGGGGCTTTAGATGTTCTTCCCCAGAGTAGGACCCCCAAGTAGTGATGGGTAGAGGAGGCCTCGTGAAGCGTTTCGGCACAAAACCCAAACAGTTTCGATTCTGTGTCTCCACTGTGTCGCTGTTTGTCTACAGACACCTGCTGGTTCATAATAATCACTGCAGGCAGACCCGCTGTGCCGTTTACCCAATGTGGTGTAGTGTAATGGTTTATGGCTCTTTTATTAAAGAGGAACCATTCTACAGAATAGTCTGGAATATTAATTTTAATAAATTAATAACCAAATTTTATAGAGATAAGAAGACTCAAAGGTTGTTTTCATCGATAAACTGACGATCATATCCGTGTGTCTGTGTTTCAGTTCAATGAAAAGACAAGTTTGAAATTTAAGAGTTTTAATTCTTCAATTTAAACTAATGATCTGAAATGACAATCATAGGGAAAATAATCAACATTGGCAACCTTGTTGGACAATCTTTAACAGTTGATATTTTAAGCTTGCACAAATAGACCTTGTGTTGGATGTGCTAAGATTGAGGATGATATAATTATGGATGCGTGCATGCAGGTGTCTGAGATTGCTTCAGGGAGAGAAAAGGTGAATCTGAGTGAAAGATGATGTTTTGAATTAAACTTAGTTCTTATTAGAAAAACTGCATCAGAACGCTATATATCGTGTTCTGTCTCACCGACCTTAGGACCCTCTTTAGATCCGGACCGAAGGAGGATGTTTCTCCAGGTGCCACCTTGGCTGACAGAGAAGACGACGGTGTGCTGACGGTCCAGTCCAGAGTTGACCTCGGTACACGTTGATGAAGCGTTTGGCAGATGCGCTTTCTCAAGTTTAAATTAACTCAGAAATCAAAGACTCTGGGACGAGTCTGCGTTAGCTGGTTTGCATTTCTGCTATTCTGTCTGACTTGACAGAAATAGCGTGGGGGGAGAAAAGAGCCGGCGGGGCTCCGTTCCCCGTGGCGTTTGTTCTGCATGTCCTCTCTCTTTCGTTGTCAATCTCATACTGACTAACTTACCAAAAACCACTTCTCTTCCCAAAGCAAACTTGTGCGTCAAAGCAAATGTGTTTTGAGTTACTGTGGATACAGACCTGTGTGAGCGAGTGTGAAGGTCATCGCTAAACATCTCCCAAAAACATTATTTAATTAAGTATTGATTCATTATAGTTCATTATGATTACCCAAAGCATAATAATCATTCATTTGATTAAAATACATTTATAATGAGCAAAGTGATAAAATGATTATTTAGCATTAATAAACAAAGAAAGCGTAAGACTCTTTATTATGACTAGATTGTGTGTGAGAATTCCTTCTTCTGGAGCTGCAGGTGTTAGATGTTGTGGCTTTCTTCAGACTCGCTGTCGGCTCAGGTCTTAATCTGTGGGTGAAAGTTGCTGCGTGACCCAGCTTTGACCCAGCTGGGCAAATATGACCTTTGGCACAGAAAAATCCATACTTCCTCACGTTACAGTGGGCTGGTCCGATCCGCACCCACCCCACCCCCGCAGGCCTTTTCCGTGCATTTCTCTATGATGTCTCAGCATTGATGATTTCCTTTTATTAATATAGGGAAGTTCAGTTGAACAAATGCAGCTTTTAACCTGCAGAAAATAGTTTGGATGATTAAAAATAATCATTTAGAAACAAAATTCTGATGGATCAAGCAGAAACAGAGAGGAACTGGATGAAACAAGGCAAATAAACAATGTAAAATGAACAAAATGATAATAATAATTTAGCTTCAAAAGATGTACTTCAGGCAGAAACTCATCCCGTTGACAGATGGAGACGCTCCTCCATTTAATCACGGTTCGGCACATCACTGACCAGCGAAACAGCGGCCGTATTGGTCATGTGACTACTTCCTAAATGACACGCGCACCTACACGGGGTCTCTCTCTATGAGCCAGATACATTTATGCCTATATTTAATTATTTGGCAGACACTTTTATCCAAAGCGACAAACAATTGTTAACCTGTTGTGATCTGTGGGGGAAACCGGAGTGCCCGGAGGGAACCCATGTATGCATGGGGAGAACATGCATCTCCACGCAGAAAGACTGCAGCCGGGTTTTGAACCTGCAACCTTCTTGCTGCGAGGCAACAGTGCCAACAACTGTGCCACCATGCAGCCTATTTATTCCTACCCTAGAGCAATTTACGTAAAAAAATCAGAGTGAAGTTGATCTTTAACATGAGGTTGAGGCAAGCTGCTCATCTGCTAGCGGTCCATCAAATGGACGCACCCTAAGTATTCAGACATTCAAGCTTTTACTCATTCAGTGCCATTGTTGACTAAACACCCCTTTTTAAATTGTGTTTTCTAGCCGGGCGGCAGTGTTTCCCCTAGGAATTTTTCCAGCTGTGGTGGAGGTGGTGTTGGGGGGGGGGGGGGGGGGGGGGGGGGATTATGACATGTCTCACCTTTATGTTAATATTGTTTTATTTGATGCACTCCACTTTGAACTGCACCAATCCAGCGACTGCTGCAGTGTAATAACTAGTATTAAAGGTGAGTACACCAATATTTGCACAATAATAATTTCTGTTTTAAACTCTCAGTGACACACTTTGCAGGGTGGATTTGGCATTTAATTTTTCTTGGCGTTTGGAAAAACATCTTCTTTTGCCCCCTTTATTTGACTTTCTGCCCCCTTTATTTTGGTCCAAGATCATTACTGGGCTGGCCCTATTAAACACGTTCTACACCCCTGCTTAGTAGACTTAATGAAGTATTTTTAAGCCAGTATAAAAATGACTGAAAAACAAATTTACATATTTGGCATTATTGAACAATATTTTTGATTTAATTTATTTGTTAAGAACATCAAGATGCATTACAGTGAACATTATAATAAGCTGGGCGGACACTGTGCGACTTTTTCACTCGTAACACAGCTTCAGCTCAAACTGTACGACTTCAGCGCAGGGTAGATCTCACGAGCCATGTGCTCACTGTACGTCTGGTAGCAACACGTCAGACCTAAAATATGCTAAAAATAGCAGTTTTTACACAATACGTCAGACTTTTTTGTCTTGTTTTGCCTGTTGTCCTTCAGGAGTGCTGCAGGAGGACACACAGGGATTTATGGGGGTTGGATGAGGAAACAAAATAAAGTAAATCTGTGTTTTGTGATCAGTTTAATTTGACATGATCACGACAAACACACTTTCTTGACAATCACTGTGAGTAAAAAAACGTGTAGAAATAAAAACGAACGTGTGTTATTGGGGAAATAGCGGGTGAGCGGAGTTGATGCAGGATTGCGAATGCGCCGTGAGCGGTTCTGATTCTTTTTGGGTCGCAGCTGCTCGCTGCGCCACTTCAACCCTCATGAGGAACGAGATAAATATTAAACACTCCAGAAGTCCGTGCGAGCTCACGATTGCTGATCGGTAGCTGGTCACGTGGTGTTAATCGCCTCTCGTAACCCCCGGTACACTACACGACGCTCAGCGCAAAACTCGCCCCGATCTTGTGGATTCTCGCACGAGTGGAAAATCTGCTCAAAAAAGTGAAAAAGTCGCACAGTGTCCGCCCGGCTTTACGGTCTGTGTGTGTGCGTTGATGCCTGGGCCGAGCTGACTGAGCTCCCGGCTGCAGTTTTGTGTGTAGGGAGGGGCGGGCGCTCTATCTGACTGGCCAATCACAGAGCGTGAAGACAGTCAGTTACCCAATGAGGATTTCATTCAGCACGATTACAGATATTTTCGAGTTTTACACTCGTTTCTTGCTCGTATTCGTCAAAAATGCTTTATCCGTATGCTCATAGCTGTAACCACCCTGCCCTGCCTCCTCCTCCTTGCTACCTGCCGGCTGTGATCACAAGCAACAACACAGTAGTTCCCGCTGCTTCTTCGGGAAACGGCGCAAAAAAAAAACCCATCACTTGGGATGTTGTAGGCGTGGCGATGGGATTTCAGCCGTGGCGGCCCGCCACGGCTACGCCTATGTAAGGGAAACCCTGGGGCGGGCTTGGAATCGAGCTTGCGCACCGTGAGAGTAAACGTGCACCTTCAAAGTTTATTTTCACCCGTGTGCGTCCAACGCCACGTCATCCTGAAGTTGAGAGTCCATGCATTAGGAGATTGTTTTGGGACGCCGCTATGCCTAAAGCGAGGCACAAACCTGGAAAAGCTTCTGCAGCTCACACTTCCACAACGGATTGTGAAAGAATAGAAACACGCCGATTATTCTGGTACTTTTGGTATTTACATGGTCATAAGGCACAATATTAGAGCTGAAACAACTAATCGACTTAATCGATTATAATCGATTATTAAAATAGTTAACAACTTTTTTAGTCATCGATTAGTTGTTTAATAATCATATTTTACCGCATAAAGTCTATTTTTTACCACAATCTGACATCGGTTACAAGCTGTTAAATTTGCCGCCAGTGTGTGGCAGTAATGAGCCACTGATCTACCAGTGGAGCCGTAGAAGAAGAAATGAGCCAATGGGTGCCCTCGGTTTTCATGACGTATCACGTTACTGACGCTCATCTTGCTGTGAGAGATGGCGGAACAAGAGGAAATACGGAAGAAAAATAGAAGCGACAAAACTGAAGAGAAACCCCGGACAAATACCTCACGAGTATGGGAGCACATTTGAGACGAAAGCATGTGGTGGCTGATGCAGCAGAGGAAGAGCACCGCGGTCAAGTGAGCCGTCATTTGGAAGAGCCAGCCCGGTAAGTAACAGAAAATAAACAAGCTGGACTTAGTGTTTTAGCTGAGTTCGTTATAGTGGATGTTAAACATGTTTTTTGTCGCGTCAGTCTACGGTGTTCTACTTCTGATTGACTAGATGCAATCGTGAATCTCCTCCGTGTTGTGTATCATGCGCTTGCCAAATTCAGCACGTCTGTTTATAAGAATGTTCTCGTTAAGAGAAAAACGGCACAAACCCATAACTATGTTCCTCATTCAAAAAAGGACAACTCTGCGGTGAAAAATATACAGACGAGCTGTGTCCAGGTGAATATAACGCGGCATAGTTGTACGCTTTCAATTTTTAAATACAGGAGAAATTCAGAAAAAGTCATTTTTTTACTATTAAAAGGCTGTTTTACTGTCTAACGCTGTAAAACGCCTCACAACACATTTTTATCATGTTTCTTAAACAGTATTACACAAAATAAACATTTTTCACATTTCTCTAGCTAATTTAAACACTCCCGACTCAAAGTAAAAACCTCATGAGCTTCTTACTCTGAGCTTTTTAATAGTAAAAAAATTAGACTTTTTTTCTTAATATCTCCTGTTGCGGGCTATTTTGTAGAACGTAACCCTCAAAATAAATGATCACTGTATATTGTTAATTAATTCAAATAATTTAACATTGATTTAGTGTTGTAGTGTGTGTGCTGCTTTATTTTATATGTGTACTTATTTCAGTCTATTTGTGTTTCTTATGCAGAAAAAAACAAGCAACGATGGACAACTACATGGGGAACAAGACACTCACCCCCCAGCAATTCATACCACTTACAAACTCTATTCTAAACATGCTGGTAAAAGACATGAGGCCACTATCCATGGTGGAAGGAGCAGGCTTCCAGCTAATGCTAAAAAATTATTCTGGACTGATATTTTGCACAGTTTAGCTCATTTTCTACTGCTGACTGTGTTCATGTGCAATAAAATAGATTGCAGTCAACTGCACAATTCTCTTATGTTTTTTTTTCTTAACTGAAATGCATCCATCACTTGTATAGGTTAAATAGCTAAACAGTAACAAACCGATTAATCGATTAATCGAAAAAATAATCGACAGATTAATCGATTATGAAAATAATCGTTAGTTGCAGCCCTACACAATATTCTCAAAAACACTGGCAGTCAGGGGCTTTCTGTTCAGAGACCGGCTGGTTGTGAGTGAGTTAATTACACCTAAACGGGTGAGTCACAAAATAATCCACCCCCTCAGAGTTGTTAAAGCTAAAGTGTTTTTGCACCAGGCCGCAAACATAATCATTCCCGCTGTGAAGGTGGCATTG